ATCACTCAGAACCACAGAACTCTTACAGGGCAGATACTGTTTTGGTTTTTGGGTAGAATTTGCAGTGTGGAGAGTGCTTGTAGCTGAACCAGGGAAACCTCACTCCCCCCTTTTAAATGGAGTTACAGTAGTTTTGAGGCCATTAAAAAAAAGGATGTGAAAAGATGGTCCCCTACTAAAATGGTGCATAACCCACTCCTCTAGCCTACCCTGACAAAACCTCATTGACATGATTTTAAATTCTCATAATGCCTCCCAACCACAAAGTGCAGCTTCCTGGCACAGCTCTCGTGCTTCACAAAGCAGCCATAGATGAAGAGCCAGGGGTGTGTTGGCAGGAAAAGCAGACACAGTGACCTTCTGCTGCATGGAATCATTATGTCTGGGTGCACTCCGAGAGTCTATTTTTGGCTTTTGCATAACTCCAGCCCAGCGAGTGGAGCGCTCTCTCTCTATGCTTGATAAACTGGAAGGGGGCAGGGAGTGGTGCACAGTGGCCAGTGGGAGCCAGGGCTATCCCTAGTTAGGTTACCCACTTCAGGCATGGTCATTCATTAGTAACAGAATAAGTTCTCCTGAAAGGAAGCAGTGAGTGACTACATCCCCAACAGTATGCCTTTAAAATGTTCCAGAAGCAGTTTCTCTTGGACTTATTTTCTTCTCTGATTTAGCTTCTGAATGACATACTCCATTTCACATCTCACAAGCAAAGGCATCTGATCAGCCACTTGATCAGTGGGTGCCCTTTGTAGTGTGTTCTGGGCACTGTGTTCAACACGAAGGGACATGGGGACCACTACCTTGCTTCTCCAAGCAGGCCCTGGCTCCTTCTCATGTACCATGTGTATAGAGCTATGCACCCCATATCCTCTGTCATTGAGCTTAGGAGTCAGCTGAAGAGCTATTCCAATCTAGCACTCCTGGAAGAACAAATCAGCATGCCTGCTCTATACCACTGAATACCTTTGAGAGTCAAAGACTGTCATGTTGGCAGACAATCCCACTAGTCCTAAAAAGACTATTCTTTGGATTAAAACTGGGGTGGGAGGATTACACAGAGCATGGATGTTTGTGACCACAGAGGAGATGATGGAGTTCGTTCCAGCCCAAGATAAATGGATCCAATCACTCATGCAGAGGAGGAGGGGAGAGAGCACGTTGTGCCCTGAACTTAGGAAGGAGGATGTTCGGGGGTTCAGATGAGGCATGGGTGGGCAGGAGTGGGCCTGCAGGCTGTGTGCACCAATTGGCATGCGTATGTTGCACCTGGGGCAGTGACAAATGGCCCAGCGCATTTCCCTGTCTTGGATGGAGCATCTTGGGAAAACATCAGGCTGTTGCCTTGGCTGCTCAAAGCAGATGAGCTGTGGGTTTGCAGCTAGCACTGGTCTTCCACTGACCTTTCTGCAAAATCTCAAGCACCATTTGACTGTTTTCTTAACAGTGCTTCTGCACTTCTCTATGGGAAAGGAAAGTAGCTTTCAAGCCCATCTAAGAATTTTCATGTCTACAGTGACGGGAAAGTTGGGTATGTGTAAGCTTGAAATCTCAAGCTGCACTGTTAGGATGGGTCCTTTGTTGGCTGGGTTTGACACCTCGTACAATTTCATCCTCAGGTTGAGAATAAAGGATGATTTGATACTGGACAAACTCAGCTGCACACAGTGGGAAGAGTGGGCGTAGGTGGATAAGGGGGAGACAGTGAAAACGGACCAGGAGGCTAAATAAATGAAAGCCTGATTAGAGAATTGTTAAAATGAAAAGGCTTGTCTGTTAACTGTGACCCTTGCAAAGGACAGAGTACAGGTTTTACAAAAGCAGGAGCCCCAACCAGGCTGCAGCTAATCATTGCTGGGTTTCTGGAACAGTGTGCCACTGGTAAGTGATTTCCATGGGAACGTGGCTGGCATCATGAAGAAGCAGACTCAGGACATGGGGGAAGGGAAGGGAAGCTTTCAGAAAGCATATCTAGGCTCACCTCTCCAACCCAGTGCCTCAGCCTCCCGAGAGCTACATGACGATCACAAAGTAAAACAACCCCACCCCCAAACAAACAAACAAAAAAATCCGATCTCTGTTCTCAGAGGCACAACATTCAATTGTGGTATCCAGTATGACATAATGTCACCTACAATGTGTTGGGCTGTATTATCCTAATGAGTGGTGCACCTCAGGTATGTGCAACCTGCTACCCAGGCCACATGTGTACTCAAGGTGCAACACTCATTAGGATAAATGATGAAGACAAGACAGCCTTTTAGACTTCTCCAGGCTCTTCTGAATGTCTGAACTTTGAGTCCTCATATTTCCTGAGCCACCTCACTGGGTGGTTTGTGAGGCCTGAAAGTAATTAGTAAGTTTTCCATTGCTATAACACCATACTTGAGGTTGGGTAGCTTATAAGAAAAAGAAGTTTATTAAGATCATAATAATGATCTTATAAGGCTAAAGCTCCAACAGCATGGCACTAACTAAAATAATGGCCTCCCTGACTGCATGACATCATGGTAGACAGCATCATGGTGGAACTTTTCTAAGAGGAGAGATCACATGAGGAGATAACAAACTTTAGATCTTTCATAGGGTAAGCGCTTTTTAAACACAAAGCAAAAATCCCTGCACCCAGAGTGGGGCCATGGCTCAGAGGGTAAAAGTGCTTGCTAAGCAATCCTCATGACCTGATATCAGAACCACACAAAACCTTGATGCAGTGGTGTGTATCCATAGTCCCATCACTACTCTGGAAAATGGGAGACAGGAAGGAAACTTGCCCAGAAGCTCTGAAGTCAGCTTGCCTTGGTGTATGTGTAGCAACATAAATAGCAAGAGAGATCTCAAACAAGGTGGAAGATACCACCTTCTGTGAAGTTATCCTCTGACTTCTACATGTGCCTCCATACACACATGTACCTGTAAACACACACACACACACACACACACACACACACACACACACACACACACACCAGAAAAGGATGCATATGCATGGAGGTCAGAAGACAACTTGCAGGAGTTGGTTCTCTCTTTTGTCCATGGGAATCCTGGAGATTGAACTTGAATCGTCAGGTTTGGTAGCAGACACCTTAATCCTCTAAGTTAGTGGCTCTTAACCTTCCTAATGCTGTGACCCTTTAATACAGTTCTTCATGTTGTGGTGACCCCCAACCATAACATTATTTTC